CTTTTAAAGGTATGACTTTATTAAAATTGATTAAATGTAATTTATGCAATAGTTGTAATGCACATTTATCTCATTCTTTTACATAACAACATAAATACATAAATATGTATCTTGTTATGAATAAACTGGTTTTTCTTACTTACTTTTTTACTTAATCAGTGGTATCATTTCTTAAAGTTGGATAAAAATCGTAAAGAGAACTTAAAATACCCTTTTTTCTTTCAGGAAACTAGTCCTGCAACAACAAGCCATGGTGCTCCTTTGATAACAAAAGATGCATCCCTCACTGTAGGGTTGAGGGGTCCAATTCTTCTTCACGACATAGCGTATGTGGATGAAATGGCTCATTTTGATCGTGAACGGATACCCGAAAGAGTGGTCCACGCAAAAGGTGCTGGTGCCTTTGGTTATTTTGAAGTTACCCATGATATAAGTAAATACACGGCTGCAAAAGTTTTTGACCAAGTTGGTAAAAAAACTCCGGTTGCTGTGCGTTTTTCTACGGTGGGTGGTGAATCTGGTTCAGCAGATACAGTTCGGGATCCCCGAGGATTTTCTGTTAAATTTTATACAGAAGATGGTAACTGGGACTTGGTCGGTAATAATACTCCTATTTTCTTTATTCGCGATCCCATATTGTTCCCCAATTTCATTCACACTCAGAAGCGAAACCCTGCAACCCATCTTAAAGATGCAAACATGTTTTGGGACTTCATTACTTTAAGACCAGAAACCACCCACCAAATCACATACATGTTTTCTGATAGAGGAATTCCCGATGGTTATAGACACATGAACGGTTATGGATCACACACGTTTAAGCTCGTAAATGCCGACAGCAAATCAATTTACTGTAAGTTTCATTTCAAAACAGATCAAGGTGTCAAAAATTTGGATGTGGACAAGGCTGCCCGTTTGGCTTCGTCTGATCCAGACTATGCAATTAGGGATTTGTACAATGCTATTGCAAACAATAACTATCCTTCATGGACTTTACACATACAGGTTATGACCCATGAACAGGCAAAAAACTCCAAATTAAATCCATTTGATGTTACTAAAACTTGGCCTCATTCTGATTATCCTCTCATACAAGTGGGAAAAATGGTGCTTAACAGGAACCCCGAAAACTATTTTGCAGAAGTAGAACAGATTGCTTTCTGTCCAGCCAATATGATTCCAGGAATTGAACCATCAATGGATAAGATGTTGTTAGGGCGAATGTTTTCATACAGCGACACACAAAGGTATCGCTTGGGACCAAATTACCTTCAAATACCAGTTAACTGTCCCTACAAAGTTCGCAACTATCAAAGGGATGGTTTTATGGCTATTGACAATCAAAAAGGCGCTCCAAACTACCATCCTAATAGTTTTGGTGGTCCAACTAACGATGCAAGAGCTAAATCTCTTGCTCCACCTTTCGATTTATCTGGAGATGTGCAAAGATTTGATACAGGGGACGAAGATAATTTCAGTCAAGCAGGAACTCTGTACAGAAATGTTTTAGATGAAGCAGCAAAAGAAAGATTAGCCTCAAATCTTGCTGGAAGTATCAAAGATGCCGTAGAATTTATTCAGCAACGTGCTGTTAAGAATTTTACACAAGTAGATGCAGATTTAGGAAAAAGATTAACTGAAAAATTGTCATTGTATAAACGCGCAAATCTTTGAATAGTGATGGATGTGAAACAGGATAAGTTGGGATCTCGCACAGGTTCTGGGACTGCATTTTAATACAATTATAACTTTTATAAATAATTTAATAACGATTTTAAGTTGTATATTTTGTGATAATAAATATGTTTGTATTTTATTCGATTAATCTTTAATTTATCAACCACATTCATAGTGGTTATCATAATAAAGGAATGAAAGACAAAATAATGATTCCAGATTTTAATAACAAAACTGACTCCAAAATTTTTAGAAATCATCCTTACAGGTATGGTATATGAAAATATTTACATCTTTCGATTTATTTACAATTATTATATAACTTAGAGAATGAAAAAAATAAACACAATTAAATAATTATTCACATTATTACAGAAAAAAAAATAATGGTTT